TATATATATATATATAGAATATTATAATAGCAATGTATTATGTTGGTGGAATCCCATTCTAATTGTCCCTCTCTTCATTCGGTTAAAGACCATTTAGCATTTATGGACTGTGGATGCCTGTATATATCATTTGCTTTCCTTTCTTTTTCAGCAAGAAACTTTAATGTCCAGAAGTCTGAGGCCATGCTGCGAAAGGTAACAGCTACTCTGTTGAGAAAGACAGGACAGTTTTACAGTACAGCGTGTGACATTCTCGTAGAAATGCAATACAGTACAAATCATGTACCAAAGTGAAAGCCGAGGTACAGCCATAAAGCCTCTCTTTCAGTGAGTTGTATGTGAATTTGCAGTTAGCACCAGCACAGACTATCAGGCTCTCAGGAGTGGCTGCAGATTAGAGAGGAGCTGTGTTGTAATGGTTCTCTGTGGAGATACTGAGTCATCACGCAACCTGCGGAGAAAAGATATAGAAAAGGGATTAAATTAGTACTTAAGATGACATAATAAGATTTACAGCCACCTAACTTGACGCTAGGCAACGTTGGAGAAACAAGCAATAGACAACTAGATTTTGAAAGTAACTGAAAACGTCTCACCCATTGCCTTCAGGCTTCTGTCCAAAGCCACTCCCCCAGAACACATTTTCATGCACAATGCTGTAAAGTAATTATGCTTTAAAAAAATAGACGTTAGTAGATTTTTTCTTTTTTTTATTTGAACAAAATGCAAAGTGAGTGAAAAGAAGAAAAATCTGTATTAAAAGTCAATATTTGGTGTGACTATCCTTTTTACCTGCAAAATAGCATCAATTCTTCTTCTGCACTTTTGTAGGCATTGTCTGGTGTGATTAAAGAATGATGCTAAACAGGTACTAATGATCATTAAGTTGAAACAGAAACAGTTGTGTTGGAGGACAACAACTGGGTGAGGAACAGCCAAACTCAGCTAACAAGGTGAGGTTGCTGAAGACAGTTTAGTGTCAAACGTCACACACCATGGCAAGACTGAGCACAGCTACAAGACACAAGTTATACTCCATCAGCAAGGCCTCTCCCAGGCAGAAATTTAAAGGCAGACAGGGATTTCCAGATGTGTCCAAGCTCTTTGCACAAAGAAACAGGCAACGCTGGTCGGCCAAAGAAACTTACTGCGGCAGATGGAAGACAGGTCATGCTTACCTCCCTTAGCAATCGGAAGATGTGTATCAGATCAGAGCTGCAGAAAACAGTGGGACCCTGGTACACCCATCTACTGCCCGGAGAAGTTTGCTCAGACGTCGTCTTTATGGAAGACTTGCGGCCAAAAAGCTCTCCGACATGGAAACAAGACTAAGCGACTGAACTATACATAGAAACATGGGAACTGGGGTGCAGAAAAATGGCAGTGGGTGGTTGGACTGATGAGTCAAAATTTTAAATATTTAGCTGTAGCAGAAAGCAGGTTGTTCGCTGAAGGGCGGCACAAGAATGAGTGACTACAGGCAACAGTGAAGCATGGTGGAGGTTCCTTACAAGTTTGGAGCTGCATTTCTGCAAACAAAGTTGGGCATTTGGTCAGAATGAATGATCTCCTCTGAAAAGTACAGACACATATTCATCATGCAGTACTATGAGGGAGGCATCTGATTGGCCGAAAGATTTATTCTGCAGCATGACAATAACCCCACACATACAGTGAAAGTCATTAAGAACCATCTTCAGCGTAAAGGAGTCCCTGAAGTGATGGTATTTGAATTTCTTCTGTTAACTCACTTTGCATTTTGTTAATTTGTATCTATTGACATGTCTGTTTTTAAAAGCATTCTTACTTTACTGATTTTTTACACACCTGCCTAAAACCTTTGTGAGCCAATTTGAAACATTTCTTTTCCCTTTGTTGGTGTGTTTGAAAGCATGCGTTTGCTGTAGTGTGTACACGGAGGTACATAGTTGATTTCCTGCTGACGGGGCAGGTTTACGTCATCTACTGTCTGAAATCTCCTAAGCCAGCTAAATCACTACATTGTGCTTGGACGGATCTGCCACTGTACAAGCTAGTCTTTCAACTCGAAGGTTTACAGTACTTACTGTATATTGTTAATCCTATGATTAATACTTTTGCTGAACTTAACATGCACCATCTTTTCTTCCAGCATTTGGAGTTCAGGAAAATCATGAAAGTAGACACAATAATCACCGAATGGCGTCCTCCAGAGGTAAAACTTTATAAACCTAATAAATTATAATCTACTATAGATCCAGTGTACTTTTTCTCAAATTAACGTGTCATGCATTGTCTTCACAAATATTTCAGACTGATGAAAGCAGGTGTTGTTTGACATTTAAAATGACTGCTGTTTACAGGTGATAGAGAAGTATCTGTCAGGAGGGATGTGTGGTTATGACCGTGAGGGCAGTCCCGTCTGGTATGATGTCATTGGACCTGTGGATCCCAAAGGCCTCTTCCTGTCTGCCTCCAAGCAAGACTTCATCAAGTCCAAGATCAAAGACTGCGAGGTCCTTCAGAAGGAATGTAACCTACAGTCACAAAGGGTAAGTCCTGTTCACATTTGACACTGTTATGGAGGCTGAGGTGTAGTGGTGTTTATAGAAGGAAGCATGTCTAGCTCAAAGCCCAAAAAATGAGCCAGGATCACGTGTTCACCCTAGCAAATATCCTGAGACACCACACGAGGTGTTGAGAGATTAATCTAAGGAATTGCCAGATAACTACTGGTGTAGGAATAAAAAAATCTGCCTCACACATTAGGATTACTTTTTGGACTTTTATTTGTGTTTTTCTTGTGAAATACTGTCTTTACTTTTTACTTTTCACTTGTCACAAGTAGACCTGGCTTAAGTGATTACAAGAAATACATTTTGGAAACCACTGCAGTAGATTATTTTCCTCTCTCAAGTGGTACCTAAGAAAAGGCACTAAATAGCCACAGCAATCCATTTCTCTTCTCAGGCTCTATGGCCAATTACAAATGTGTTTATTTGAGCTGCGCTATCAGTTTTCCATTATTAAAATGAAATTTTGGTTGGATACTCTGTCAGTGCAAAAAGGGCTAAACACAACTGCTGTATTTGTAAAAAAATAACAATAATTAATGATTCTACGCCCATGTATACATTTTGTCAGAAAATGTTTTTTGTCATCAGAAGGAGCAAAAGTCATTGGGAGTTGAGTTTGGGTTTGGCAGTTACCTTTTTTAAAATTCTCTATTTTGAAATAGCTCTTTTATGATATTCAGTTGTGATTTCAACACCACAATTTCATTGTCCGAGTTTATTTTCCTGTTAAATGTTTTGGCTGGATTATCCTCTGGTGAAAAATAATAATTATAATAATAATTTCACGCTGAAATCTCCCTCTATAGCTTACAAATTGCTCATTTTAATAATAATTTTATATGTATTTAACACTCAGTTTCACCACATTACATTCATTACAATTGTAGAACAATCTAGGGTTCAGTGTCTTTCTCAAGTTTCCTGGGCAGGAGGAGCCAAGAAAGAACCACCAACCCTAAAATGAATGGCCGTCTTCTGTACGACCTGAACTACAGGTTGTGTTATAATTTTGTCTTTCTGTCACTGTTTCCAACCAGCTGGGGAAGAACGTGGAGTCAATCACCATGATCTATGATGTTGAAGGTCTGGGTCTGAAACACTTATGGAAGCCTGCTATAGAAACATATGGAGAGGTATAGAGGCACTCACATGAAAGTGTAGACAGAGCTCACAAAACTAAATTTGATTGAATTTCTCCAAATACAGTCTATTCCCCTGTGTTTCCAGATCCTCCAGATGTTTGAAGACAACTACCCAGAAGGCTTGAAAAGGCTCTTTGTCATTAAAGGTACATTTGTCTTTCCTCCATGAATACATGTTGCAATAAACAAAAGATAGTCCAGATCAGGGGAGTAATTAATTGATTCCACTTGCATTTCTTTATTCGTCTTTGTTTTTTTATTATCATATCCTGCTTTTTGAAGAACGAGAGTTTCGATTCTTGCTGCCTTACGTTTGGTTAACACCTTTATGTTTTTCTCCTGCAGCCCCCAAACTCTTTCCTGTGGCCTACAACCTCGTCAAGCACTTTCTGAGTGAGAACACAAGACACAAGATCTACATCCTCGGCGGTGAGACACTGGAGAATATTTTACCCTAATACCAAATTCACTGAAAAATCAAAACCACCCCACCTTCTGATGAATTGACGGTTGTTTTTTCTCTGGTCTGACAGCTAACTGGCAGGAGGTTTTACTTAAGTACATAGATGAAGAGGAGCTGCCAGCGATATACGGGGGCAAACTGACAGATCCTGATGGCGATCCTCGCTGTCGGACCAGGGTGAGTCAGTAAATCAAGAAGCCAAACTGCACACCTATGGGTGCTGTTCTTTTGGTGCCAAGTCGGGATGACGATGAGTTGGAAGAGACACGTCTCTGTTGCAGATGCTGCGTAATTATTTTAACAATACCTGGAGATGTGCTCAATGACACATTCATGTTATTCACTTATTGTAAGTGACCTGAACTTGTGAAGTAAGTCCTGTTAAATAAACAGGATTTTTTTGTTGTTGTCAGCAAGCCTTTGAATTATATTCAGCATGTAAGAAATTATGTAGACAACAAGGAAATATTTGAAGTCCTTCATTTCCTCTTCAAAGAGAGTGAAATTCTGTTTTTGGCTGATGTGACTGATTAACTGTGAAGTCTGCCCTATTAATAGCAGCTGTTCCTGTATTGACAGCTACCACTGGCCTGGTATCATTGCACTAACTCTCCACTTCATGTATGCTTGTATTACTATTTTATCTTTAATATTATGTACTCATTTTCAAAGTACTATTGAGTTCTTAGTGAGTGTTTACCTGATTTGAGATTTCTCAGATGGAGCAAATCTACCTGCTGTCAGTTTTCTCCCCACATGTTATTTGATCTTAAAATGACTTAAGTAAAAACAAAAATATGCACCAAAGTATTGTCTTCTTGGAATAAGAAACTTAAACAACAGAAATGTATAATTTTATTGTCACGATGCATTTAGACCAAATGTCTCCAAATGCACAATGTTCTTGTTTTGAAGTGTTATGAGGCAACTTAACAACAGAACAAACAGTTTTGCAATGGATACAAGTCTGATTCCAACAACAGCTGATCAGCCGTCCTGTTAAATCAGGCCTGCAGCTCAGTGCTGAAATAGGCAACAGTACGCTTGCTTTGGAGTACTTTGATAAATATATCGGCTCTGTTTGACAGACTTGTGAGTCCTGCCCTGTAGTTCTTCCTGTGCTAGTGTAGTTTGGCAGCTTACAGCTTTTCTTCTGTGAGAGACTGGCGGGCTAATATGCATACTGTGCACTTGAAATGTTGTGGGTTTACATTTGACTGGCAAACTATGTTTATGTGAGGCCCCTTCCCACCAGTTTTTCCAGTTTGTCTCGTCCAAGCAGAAAAAATAAAGAAATGATTTGCCTAAATAAGGATAATGCAAGGCGGCATTCAGGCTACAAACTGGTCAAACTGAACACAGGAGATGAGATGTTTTCAAAAACACTGCATTATTAAATGTTAACGCTGCTAACACTGGCTGTGGCAAGGATCCTGTTGCACATGAACGAGCCAATCTGATCACAACAGGTCAATGACAAAGCAAGGACTATTCGGGACTGGCTGTCCATAGCAGTGTGAATCATTACAGCTGCACACATGCTGAATAGCTGATGCAAAAAGCATGCAGTTTGAGGGTTGCTCGGTTGCACTGAACATAGGGTGTGCTGTGTGAACTACAACAGGTAATGACAGAGGGCATTTTCCTGTAATTGCAGGAAAATTGCAGATGGGTAATTAATATCTTAAAATGATTCAAGGAAAACTCCCACTGCATCCCCGCTGCAATCCTGCCTTGCTGCTTAGAAATGGCCTCAGCATAAGCGATGTGTAGCTGCATCAAGCAAAAAGAGAACAGCAGCTTGAGTAGTCGTGCGTCAGTAATTTACTCTAGACTGACCCTGCATTTGTCACTGTTTTTGTAGATAAATAATTGGGCCCAGGACAGATGAGGAACAGGAAGAGAAAAATTCATTTTGTCTGCATTCAAGATTCAAGGAATTGAGATGCTCAGCCTCTAAGTTTTTTCTTTTTTCTACTTTTTTTAAAAATAAACATTTAGTTAGCTAGCTGTGTGTCCTTGACATTGTACTGTATTAATTTAGGTTGTAGGAGTTATCTTGTTAAAGGAATAGTTCAACATTTGGAAGGATATTCGCTTTTGCCCAGAGTTAGAATAGAATATTAATACCACTCTCATATCTGTACAGTTAATATGAAGCTACAGCCAGGAGACAACTGGCTTAGCTTAGCTAAAGACTGGAAGCAGGGGGGAAACTCGTAATTTCTTTCCCCACCAACTTTGGGTCAAGTCCTGCCTGATACTGTGACTCTGATTGGCTAAATCCTAACCTTAACCAGCCTAAGCACGAGAGGCAACAAGTACTAGCCAGTCAGAGGCAGAGCGGCCAAAATCTGGTTGGGGAAAAAGATCATGAGTGGAAAGAGCTAACCTGGAAGTCTTTCCAGGAAGTCACTGCACGTGGTCAAGAAGTAGTCTGCCACATGACTTAACACAAACGACATTTCATCATTTTTACACTGGTTTGTTGGATTTCATTATCATTGGACAGAGCTAGACTAGCTGTTTCCCCATGTTTCCGTTTTTTGTGCTAAACTAAGTCAATCTTGGTTTTCTTTAGCTTCATATTTACTGCTGGCTGTAGCCTTGAGTGGTTTCAGTCCTCAGATCTAATTCTCCACCAGAAAGAGTGTGTATTTCCCATAGTGTCAAATTAAATGATGCCCATGTAAGGCATACCTTTCAATTTGTTTGCAAAATGTATCTTTAAGGCTCATTGTTGTTGGTTAAAAATCTAATCTGAAAAAATATATATTTTTTAAATTTAATTAATTAGTTAATTATTAGCTGTTAATGTCATTGGAGGATACTGACTGTTTCAAATTGCAGTGATAAGTGCAGCAGCAAAGATAGCGTTTGACATTTAATCTCGGTGATCTGCTTCCTTTAAAACGTTTGAGTCTTGTACTTGGCGGCCAACAGATTTTCATTTTGAATTGAAAAAAAAAAAGCACAAATGAAAAACGGCCACTTATGAATCTTGTATGTGAAGTTTTCCTCTGTCAGGTTCAGTAAAATCATGAGATGTCTGAAGTTTATAACAGTGTGTGTCATTTCTTTTATTTTCTTTTAGCAATGCCTCATTCTGCATCTTTTATTTTTGTCAGTTTCCCAATAACATCTCCGTTAAGTGTGACACTTCTGAAAGATTTTTAGACAAGGGGTTTCAGATGAGTTTGACTTCCCTTATAATGATGCTTATATCTGAGGAATTATTCTTACTTGAACTTCTCAAAGTCCAAAAGGATACATTTTCTAGTTTGTTCATGTATATATGTGTGTGTGTGTGTGTGTGTCTGTTATCTGTAATATCTGTAATATACCTAATGTTAATTATCACCTGATGGATTTAACCAACCCCACTTTGCTGACCTGACATGAGGAAATCTCTGCCCTCTGTTGGTTGGGTTTTTATACTGCACTGTACACTACAGGAAAGTTGATTGGTTTGATATTTATTTTATTAATGTGAATAAACAAAAAAGTGGGAAAGAGAGAACATTCTCTTTTTTGTGTGCAAAATGTGTACAATTACAAGCATTCAGACAGTGTCACAGTAAGTGATGGCTTTCTTTTTTTCCCTCACTTCTCCTGAACTCAACATTTCATATATTAAACTTTTTGGCACCCATATCCTAATTCTGTTTATGCATGGTCTCTGCTGCAGATAAACCACGTCGGCCCAGTCCCCACCTCCTACTACGTACGGGACCATGTTAAGGTGGACTATGAGCAGTGTATGACCGTCAGTCGAGGTTCTTCCCAACAGCTGGATTATGAGATTCTGTTTCCTGGCTGCGTTCTCAGGTCAGCTGAATGCCATACGTTGTCTCATACAGGCAATAATGGTCTCAAAGGTTATTTATGCCATTTTTTAACAGCTTTTACAAGTAGAAACCTCTGTTTTTGGGAAAGTCTGGATTGTGCAAAGAAATCTTTACACTCAAAGATCAGTTATATTTTACTTGCGAAGATAATAAAAAGGACATAGCTGCAGTAAACCAGAATAAGAGCTGAATAGGTGATGAAACAAACAATGACGAATCTTAGTGATAAAATACATTTTCAGTTGGTGAACAAATGCCAAACTATGAGACTGTTTCAATTCAATTATTAAAACTGTTAATGACCAACAAAGGAGTAGAATAAGGAGCACAAGCATCATTTAGATCTTTTAAGGATCAAATTCAGCCGTTTTACCGTACTTAAGGTTACTTATCAATGCCCTTTCCAACTTAAACCTTAGTATTAAAATTGTTAGGTGTTTTTTTTTTTTTTTTACTAAAGTGGAATTCTAAACTATTATAATCCTAGTGAGACTAGCCCAATAAAAGTAATTTTAACAGATACATGCCCATGTAATTCCACACTTAGCCCAATGAGTTTGTGATAGGTAGTTTTTTTTTTGAATGAATGAATGAATTTAACAAAAATGTCAGAAAAGCAACATTTAATTAATACATTTATTTTCTTCTTGGTAGGTGGCAGTTTGCCACTGAGGGTGCAGACATTGGCTTTGGGGTGTTTCTGAAGGCTAAAAAGGGCGAATGGAAGAAGGCAGCTCAGATGGAGGAAGTTGTGCCCAGCCAGCGCTACAACACCCACTTAGTGCCCGAGGACGGATCACTGACCTGTGAACGCCCAGGAGTCTGTGAGTAACCTGTTGAGTAAGACTCACCATAGACTGGTTCTCTCAGCAGGCTTTATGATGTGTAAACATACCAGTATGCAGAGATGCTGAACATGTTAGTGCAGCATTAGATCAGATCCAACAGTATAGTAATTACTCTACTTTGCTTTTCTTCCCCAGATGTTCTGAGATTTGACAACACTTACAGCATCTTCCAGGCAAAAAGAATCAACTTCTCTGTTGAGGTCCTGCTCCCTGACCAATTACAATCTCCAAAGACCAACGGCGAGAGGGAGACACAGTGCGCCACTTCCATGTCGTCCGATCAATAATGTTTAGCCTCCACTAGTATGCACAGCCTGAGAGACTTGAGTTCAACAGGAAGCACAACAATGCTGCTAATACACAAAAATGGAAAGTATTTAACCCATGCCAAGATCTAAATGTCTGACCATTTCATCTTTAACGATGACCTTATTCATGTGCTGTCAATTTGGAAGCATTCAGGACATAAAGGAGGGACACACAGAAAATGGCCAAAGGCATATGGATACCCCATACACATAATTTTGTATGCTTTGGGTCTGGTTTTTCATGGTTTGGGCTACACCTCTTAGTACTTCCAATTAATAGAAATCTTCTACTACGTAACGTAACATAGATCTTGACTACTCGACTACTTGATTAGTCCGCGCAGATCCCTGAACTGAACGGCGACTGCGGGCCAGACCTCATCACACAGCAACAGTGTTGGACCTCACTGATATTCTTGTGGCCAAATGGGAGAAAATCCCTGCAGCCAGGTTCCAAAATCTGAGTGAAGGCTGTTATAGCAGCTGATAAATGCCCATGGTTTTGGAAAGAGATGTTCAACAATCACATATAGGTGTAAAGGTTGGATATCCACATACTTCTGGCCATGGGGCGGTGCTTCATATTTAAGTTATCTCGTTCTGTTTGAAGGAGACATGTGATCCTTTCGACATAGATGTTAAAAATATCAAATTGATGTTAAGATAGTTACCTCAAGAGCATTCTCGGAGCCCATAGATTATTGTATGATGACGATTTATGTTGCGTTCCAGACTGCTCGGAATTGGGAAATTTCCAAGTCGAAATATCTGACTGTCAGCCTCAACGTTTTCCCAGGTGCATGGTGCCTGACGCCGAAAGTGAACGAAAAACATGGCTGACTGTGACAAAGTCTTTGTCACCCAGTTGCACCTTCAGCACTACCCTTGGTATTAATTAAAATTATGGCCCTTTTAATGAAAACAAGTGACTGAAGTGGTAATCCTCCAAAGTGAGTAAATGTTGTAAGCTATACTTCATATGTTTTCAGATGTTTTGGCATTTTGTACATTTTATTGACTAACTTTTGTGTTATGAAAAGATGACTTAGCTACCTAGCAACATATTCCTACATCACTTTAGGGTAAAACAGGTTTTACTATATGATGGTATGTATTATTTTAATTTAAATACATGTAAATATACTTTATGTTGCCTTTTAGTTGATGGTTCACTAGTAGGAATTCCAACTTCAGGTAGAGTTCTGTGGTACTTTTTCTCGTTAGAAGTCAGAAATTTCGGAGTTACGAGTTGCCTGGAATGCTGCATTTGCTCATTAGCTCAACGGCTAGTGTTTCCAAGTAGGTCTACCTGTGGGTCCACAGTACTACATGACCCGCCATCAAAACAGTCGCAGTTTGGTTATGTTTTAAAGAAGGTGTTCTGTAGTAAAGTGGGCGTGTTGTGTAGCCTGATATCTGTTTTGAATACCTCAAGAGTTAATAGTATATCAGCGCAACATTAGACGTCAGTGAGTTCACCAACATGTGAGCATTATGCATCTCCAACTTAAAGGGGAACTCCACTGATTTTACATGTCAATGTGTGTTTACAGTTGTTGGAGAGTACTACTGCGTATGTGGAAAAAAAAGTTGTATAAAGCATTTTGTGGCCCCAGATTGAGCTATGTGATGTCACTGGTAAATTGCCTCAAGTGATGTCACTTGTGTCAGTGTCGGTTGGGTCTGAAGACCAAAATGTCGGTGGTCGAGTTACATTGTGGGTAATGAAGCCGCCAGGTTTTGACAAGGAAGGTTTTGTTAATGTTAAAGCAGTGCAACACTAAATCAGTGGAGTACTCTTGAAATTCTCATTTATATGTTGAACGTATTTATAATTTTTCTCACGCAAAATGTTTCAAATGGCCATGAAGTGAATCAGGTCAGTGCTACCACAGCCTGATTTATGTACAAAACAAAGGATCAACATTTTCTATTGATGTTTTTCCTTGTATATGGCATAAATATTTGCCATGACAATCAACAGTAGTATTTTAATTTTATTTAATTAGAGAGTTTTATCTGGTTTTATATCCATTTTTTCCTTCGTCTTTCTGATGTGCCTCTAATGTTTGTCTCTTTCCCACTTGACATATTAGCAATGAACTTTCACATTTGCAAATAACATTCCTTTAAATATTTATTTCCTCATTTTTAATTTATTTCCAAAAAATAAATAATTATTTTATTCCCTATATAATCACAAGTTTTCAAATATTTATTTTAAGTAAGGAGCATTAATGCAGTATTAAATCATATACATGTTAACTCATTTGCAGTGAATGTAATGAAAATGTGTGACTCTCGCCAGACAATTACTGAATGTAGATTGTGGTTGATCATTATTTTCATGTTTATAATGTAACAGTATTGAAACACTTTTGCAAAGACCTGTTCAGTCCTAGGGAGAACAAAAAACAAGCTTACGTTTCACATATGATGAATAGTACATAAACAACTGTAAGAGAAGTAAATAAATCAGTTGAAAACACTGCCAGCTGAATCTGTTTTTTAAATTCCTCCATTTAGAGTTGCAGATTTGCCATGAAGCAGCTTTATAACATTAACACCTCTTCCACGCCTCTGTCTTATTTAAACTGTCAAAGCTTTGTTTCACCGAGATACAGTATGTGTCGGCGAGCTGACAATTCTGTTGTGCTTGTGTTTAGATTTTTGAATGCTGCACGTTTCTTTACATGCAGTTCTCAGATTGTTTCTTTAAACTCTCACTCTCACACAAAGCCTGTGTTTGTAATGAACAGCATGTGTGATGTGGTAAATAATGTTGTAAATTACCTAACACACCAAAAGAAACAGCAGTAAGATCAGTGGTGTAGGTGAGTGGATGTCGGTGGGAAAAAAAAATGTTAAAGAAACCAAACACATCACATTGAGACAGTCTCCCCTACATTGTAGTGTCGTGTTAGGCTCAGGTGTTCCCAGTTGTACTGATGGGACAGTCCCACCTATCAATAACCAGCACAACAATCCAACAGTTATACCCGCATGTTCACAACACAGCAAATGAGTCAGCAAAGACAGAAAGCACCTGGCGAGTGTGACAAAGTTGTAATATTTTAGTCTCCTCTTAACTCTTGGTCTCTACCATCTCCTGTGAAAAATGTCAGGGTCTTTAGATTAATTATTTCACCACAGGTTTCATAGCCTACAGTTAGTTCTGTCTGATTTGAACACAAGAGGGAGCTCTCTGCCCAGTAGAAAAGTACTGAAAGCCCCTTAGTAAGTAGCAAGTCTTGTATTCAAAGTTTTACTAAAACGCCCTGCAGGACCACACAGGTGTTTTTAGTTACTGATAATTAGACCTCTGAACTAATGTCACCCAACTTAATTCCCTAATAACAATGATCTTTAAAAAAAGGTATAATCAGTGAAAACTCCTATGGGAGTGAGCCATGAGTGTGGAATTACAATTAAATTTTAAGTTCAAAAGTTTCTCTGATACTGAATTAGCATACGGTGGGTGTACCAGCTTCATCAGGAGTTAGTGCCTCATGATGGTCAGGGTGCAACAAGGATCCAGGCCTCCAGAGCTCCCAAAAGTTGCTTTGTGTGAACTGGTTTGAACTAATTTAATTGAAAATGTGGTTGGCATTATGGAACACTGAAGCACAGTATCAACAGTATTAACAATACTAATTTCAATAATATTAATCCCTATTCACAGAGCACTTCTCAAAGCCAAGTTACTAAGTGCTTCACACAAGGGAGCAAATTGAAATCAATAAATAAGAATTCTAATAAAACGAGGAACATTTAGGTAGCAAAAGACATCTGTGAATGTTCTCAATCATCCAGGTCATAGTTATCCAAGGAAGGTTAAAATCAAGGGCAACTGGACTGGTTGATGATACTCGAAGACGTAAAATGTCTTAACTGAAGAAGCCTCTTGTGAAACGTCTTCTAGTATCTTCAGCCAGTCCTGTTGCCCTTGGTTTTAACCTTCCTTAGATAACAAGAGATATTAACTGGACTGGAATATCCACTTCTAGCAATAAATGAAAAATAATAATAAAGAGATATCAAGTAAAAATCAAGATAAGCTGTCTGATAAAGGTATATTTTAAGGTGAGATTTAAAATATATACTGACTCTGCCTTATACTCGGACAAGTCGTTCAACGTACAAGCTTGAAACAGGTTTCATGTTCCAGTGTTTAATCAGATGCCCACAGAGCTTATCTGCAGCCAGGTAGTGTGGATACACTGCAGCTGAAACCTGTGAGGGTTAATTGTGCCCCCAGAAACAGATTTTGAACCTGGTTAATACGACCAGGATCATAGTCTACATGCTGTTTTTAGAGGAATTTTTGTTCCCTTAAAACAATAAACATTTCTTCAAAATGTAAAAAAAAAAAAAACTGTCTGAGTCCTATTAGGCTATGCAAACGAAGATAGGCCTTTTGACATGTCACAGAAGGAGAAGAACAGGTTTAAGTAATAAAATGTTGGCTGATGGCTGAATTCTATTTAGCTGCTTCAGTTTCAGCGTATTTGTGGTATTGCACATACTGGTCACAGAGCCAATTTTAATATTATTAGTAACACCTGAACTGTTCCTAGTAGGACCTGATGAAATGTCTGCTGTGTAAAGGTTTAGTGGGGTTAAATTTAGGATTATCATTTTATCATTTTTTCTTTCTATTAAGTTTTTACTTACTTTTATGCAGTCAAGTTCATAGTACATGATTGGTCTGAGGTGTGTTCTGCCCATTAAAAACATGCTGATGGGAGATTAATATATCCACAGCTGAGCCTTGGGAACATACCGTAGGTGAACAGGAGTTCCCCTTCGAGGGACCTCGAAATGTTGACGGATTTTCAGAGCTCTGAGGAGTTTTCTGCCCGCTCACGGTCACCACGTCCTTGTCAGGACCGACAATACGGCAGTGGTGGCCTATTTGAATCACCAGGGGGGTCTGCGCTCGCGCCCATTATGCAAACTGGCGCATCAGATCCTCCTGTGGTCCCAGCAGAGACTGCTGTCTCTCAGAGTGATGTATATCCCTGGGACCCAGAATCAGGGAGCAGACCTGCTGTCGAGACAGGGGCTGAGGCCCGGGGAATGCAGACTCCACCCCGAGGTGGTGGAGTTATTGTGCGAAAGGTTCAGCCCCACAGACACGGACCTGTTTGCATCTCGAGAGATTACACACTGTCCGCTGTGGTTCTCAGAGTGCCATGGTGCAGAGAGGGAGTGCCATGGTGCAGACGTGGCCAAGGCTGCATCTGTATGCTTTTCCCCCAGTTGCTCTGCTCCCGGGGGTTCTGGAGTGGGTCCGTCAGGACGGCGTCAGCCTGCTGTTAGTAGCCCCGTTTTGGCCGGCCCGAGTGTGGTTCTCGGACATAATCTCGTTCCTGGAGGGCCTGCCATGGCCTTTCTCAGGCGGAGGGTCAGGTCTTTCACCCTTGCCCCGCACTGTGGAGACTGTGTGTCTGGCCCCTGAGGGGGCCTAGTTCCTTGAGGCGGGCCTGACGGCGGGAATAGTCGAGACGCTGCGCAGCTTCAGAGCCCCGTCCACGAGAGGGACGTACGGCCTGAAGTAGAAGGTGTTTGCCACCTGGTGTAGAGAACGGGTGGTGGACCCAGTTACCTTCCCGGTGACTGTGGTACTGGAGTTCCTCCCGGACTATTTCTCTGCTGGCCTTTCCCCGTCCACACTCAAGGTGTATGTGGCTACCATTGCAGCATTCCACACCCCTCTGAGGGATGGGCCTCTGGGGAGGCTTCCACTGGTCGTGCGCTTCCTCCGTGGAGCCCAGAGGATGAGACCTGTGACTTGTTCCAGGGTTCCCACTTGGGACCTGGCAGTGGTTCTTGAAGCGCTGGCTGAGGCCCCCTTTGAACCCCTGGAGTCGGCTGAGGCCAAGCACCTGACCCTTAAGATGGCCTTTCGCTATCACCTCTCTGAGGAGGGTGGGGGATCTCCAGGCACTTTCGTTTTCTCCTCGATGCCTGGAGTTTGCCCCGGGGAGGGTCAGAGCCATCCTGCACCCCTGTCCAGGCTATGTCCCTAAGGTTCCGTCCAGGTTGTCAGGGTCTACGGTGCTGCAGGCGTTTCATCCCCCACCTCATGTGACGGCGGAGGACGGGAGATTTCATCTGCTCTGCCCTGTCAGAGCGCTGAGTATTTACACTCTGAGGTCCTCCCCGGTGGAGGAAAGCAGACCAGTTGCTGGTGTGTTTCGGGTCCCCCAAGGCTGGGCTCCCCGCTTCCAAACACACGATCAGCAACTGGATCGTTCAGACTATTTCCCTGGCCTCCCTATTTCCCTCAGGTGCGCGGGTTATCTTCACCTATGGCCATAAGGGCGCACTCTACTTGAGGCATAGCGGCCTCCAGGGCCCTCCTCTCAGGGGCTTCGCTCCAGGATGTGTGTGAGGCAGCTGGCTGGGCCACTCCTCACACTTTCATCCAGTTTTACAGTCTGGACCTTCCTTCTGCACCCGGCACCCGTGCGCTCTCCTCTTAGTCGTGCCTACAGGTTACTGCATGCTGGGGGGCAGGCGGAAGCTTTCGGAGTGGAATAGTGGGTATCTCATTCCCATAGTGTCGTCACCGACGCAGTTCGAGTTCCCTCGAAGGGGAACGTCTCGGGTTATGTATGCAACCCTTGTTCCCCGAGAAGGGGAACGAGACACTGCGTTGGTCCGCCACACCTCACCCTGCCTGGAGTGCCTTGCTTCATAGCAAAGAGCTAATGTGTCCGGTGTGCCGCTGTGCTCATTTACGCCTCCAGTTACGCTGTCCCACGCTACCGTTCTAGCAACGCCAATAGGATTGGAGTAGTTTCATTCATGATTTCAGCCCTGCCACGCCCAGAGGCGTTCCCATAGTGTCGTCACCGACGCAGTGTCTCGTTCCCCTTCTCGGGGAACAAGGGTTACATACGTAACCCGAGACGTTTTGCACATCGCAAGTTTCTGAAGAACACACACACAAAGGACAGGCCCACTACCTTGATTCATAAATGTTTTATATACAAAATATTGTTACAAGTATATTCAACATATGTCACATTAGAATAATGTTAACTACTTTACATACATTTGATCAATCTTCATATTTCACAGTACATACATGAAAAAAAAAAATCACAATTCTAGCTGACTTTGTATACAATAATTACATGCTCTGGTCATTAGCTTTTTATTTTATTTTATTTTTTACAAACTTACAGTTTTAAACAGGGTTCAACTGTCACTACAGTTGTGGCCATTGTCTACACCCCCCTCTTTGTTCAGTTTAGTACAGCAGAACCAAAGCCAAAACTCTAAACTAATTTCCAGACTATCTCATCTACCAAACAGATCTTCTTGAGTTTGGAGCCACAGTGTAACTAGTTTTGGCAAATGTGTAAGTAAGTGGGACATCTACAACGGCCACATCTGTCCACAAACAGCCCAAAATACGTGAAGAGAGCTAGTTGAACGTGGCTCACTGAACACTTGCGTTCCTTGGCACATAGTAAACAGACAAGAGTTTGGATCAAACCCAGTCACATTTAAGTCAGTTAAACAACCTGCCTGCATTGTTTAATTTTTCATCCAAGTCTAAGTTTGTAGTGCACCTAATGCAAAACACCAATCAGGTATTCAGAAACAGATGATTGTTACAGTGAATGTGCATGCATGGCAAGGCTGTGGCATCTCAGAGACTTTTGGTCTCATCCAATTTAAAACTGTAAAAGTCGACAAAAAGAAAATCTTAGAGTTCCATTTCTGGTCCTACACTATTTAACCCCTGAACACAGGTTGTCCACTTCTGCTTGTTTCCATTCAGAGCAGGTCGACAGGTAAACAGTGTTCACAGTCACAGTATGACACTTGGCAAAAACAGAAGAGCTAAATTCAATACCTCTACATTTCTTCTCAGTGCAGAGAAGCTGCTTGACAGGCCACAGTCCAGAGGTCAGTCAGATAGTTTAACCACTATTCCCATAATTCTTTGTTTCTGAAAAAAATCAGTGCCTTTTTACTCAATGTTGTAGAACACATTCATGATTTAAAAGTCTCTCTGAATCCCACTGAGTACTGTGAGCTAGTTAGTTTAGCTAGCCAGAATTTTTTTTTTTTAAGGCGACGTCATTCGTATGTCATCTTTTCTTTCTTCCCAAGGTTTTATATATTCAGGAGTTCATCATTAAAGGGCAACACACAATAGTGGCATCTTGTAGACATGCGTCAGCTCTCCAGAAAAGTTTTATAACATTCACTCATTGGATTGGTACATTCTGGCTACTTTGTCCTGATGACTTGTTCTTGCTATAAGATGCATCTGGTGCTACAGGTGTCATTTGGCATGAATCTAAGGATTTGACACCTGATGATTAATTCTACCATCATGTTAAATGAAAAACCAGTAACCCATGACCCTTTATAAGGACCAGAAGCTGTTTTATTTTTGTTCTTTTGAACTGTTTCTTCACTGGTTACCTGCTTAAATGTTTCTTTAAAACTTGAGCTCTCTGCAACATGTCATGCTAAGTACAACATTTATTAATTTTAATGTGTTTTTGTGACATTAATTAGCTAGTTAATGACTGGTATCTTCTTTTTTTTTTAAACAGTGCGGGATACCAGAATCAACAGTTGTACTGATTGCAAGATATTTGTTCGCAGTCAAAAGGCTTTAAAGGCTCAAACAGTATAAGAATTTGGGATTATTTCACCCAACTCACTTTCTTCACATGTCATAGTTACTTATGATCATTAAATAGTTACTTAATAGCAGTCAGAATTTCCTGTTCGGGTCCATTCAGTTTGAAACGGACGCCTTGTTCGCATCTTTTCATACACAGACACTCAGACACAAATCCATTCATTCCTGTGAGTGGATGTTTGGTAAAAAGCTGTGGATTAGTATTGCGAGGTCAGCTTTGATGAATACAGCAGATGACATACATTTGATTTTATCCAGATTTAATTAGCTACAGATCATTAGACTAGAGTTTCTCTCTGATGAACTATAACTATTTTTATATATTTTTCTATCACTGAGTGGAGATTAAAAACCCACATGCCCCTCCATAGTAATGATATTGGTGCTGATTGTGGTTAAATGTAATACTTTTTCAACATTTTGAGAAGCGGCTTCTTTTCAAAAAGTATGTTTCGAATTAAATACATTTCTTTCTTACCATAACAAATAGTCAACTTCCTCGTGTCTACTTTTGAAGGATGTGCTCCATGCTGAATATCAGACAAAGGCTTTAATGGTCTGTGTTGACTGAGGATGAAGATGACAGTGCCCGTAAACACCAGACAAAGCCGTGAACGAGCCCTGACTCTAAACCCTGACCTAATCCATGTCAGTTTCACATTCTCACCATTTCCAACAAATCTCTGATCTGGAGTCTGTCTCTGCTCATCTGCCCTCCTCCACAGGACGAGTTTCAGATTTCAGCTTGACAAACTCCTTGGCCACCTCGTCAGCAGGCCGCTGGGACAGGATACGCATCACCGTCATGCCCGTCTCGTCCGTTTGAATCCGCGGTCCAAGGGGACACCAGCACACGCAGCTCTTGCGGTCAGCGACGTCACGCAGCTGAACCACAGCCATGCCGACCACCCGATCTGCCCGGCCAAAGCAGTAATCCTTCACGGTCACTTGGAGCTCATAGCAGTCTGGGGACTCCTTACCCAGGACACTACAGAGCACAAGAGGAAATAAAAAATCTGCAGCGTGGCAACACATTTCAGCTGTTTGCTTATTTGTAAATGAAAGAGTTGAGGTTTTCAAACTCACAACTGAAAAGCCTCGTTGAACTTTGCCGACCAGCTGTTGTTCTTGGATTTTGTGGTGAACTTGCGCTTCTTGTCGGCCAGGAAAGGGCCGACCATGGAGACTTCAACGAATGGCCGGAACATCCCTGACGTCTGCCACTTCATTTCGTTCGCTGCGATGACTGGATGGAGAGATTTGGGAAAACAGAAGGAGAGCGAGGAAGAACACATGAGACACACAGAGATTCAGTGTTGATGGTAGTGCCGATGGATGGATAATTACATGGTTGGGGTTGCATGTGTGTATATTTCTACATACATTTTCTGATGCTCATGTAAGGTCATGTGACCACCAAACAATATGTCTTTTTAATATTTTTATTCTTTTTATCAAGTTATTATTATTTGTTACTATTTGTCTGTTTTAACGTTAAGAGGGCCTCGCAATGGAAATATTTCTTCCCTTTTATGAAAGGACCATATTAGTGGTTTTACTTGTTTTTGAGTCTAAAACTATAAAGTTCCATTCACTTGGCATCACTGCTGAAATTCTTTTTCAGTTCATTTTTGTAAGGTATGAAAGTTAACTTGCAAAGCCTTGAGACTTACTTAAGATATTTTTAGGTCACCACATTTAGTTATTGTCAGTGTATGTTGTTACTTTTGTAATAACAAAAAACAAACAAAAAAAAAGACGAAGAAAAACATGTCTTGTCTTGGTGCAGAATTTGAGTCAGATGCCAGACTTGCTTTCAATATTTTGTTGGGCTTCAAAGTTCATCCTTGATCTTGGAAAATGTACCTTGAGGTTAGATAGTCTTGTGCATTTTGTTTTGTTGTTCCAGGTGTAATCTACGGCAACCACTTGCGCCACAACAATTTCTGCTCACTATTGCCATGTTATTCCCATGTGGTTGGCAGTAATATAAGATGTAACAACTAGTACTTCATGGGCTAAAACATGCAAAACCACTTTAAAGGCTTAATACAAGATTAGAAAAAGGTTCAATTTGGGTCAGAATGTAGTTGAGAGCTTTAAGGTTGAAACATTGTTTAATTGTAAATGTTTGTGTAATTTGAATATAGTCTCACCTCTGACATTGACTTTACGCTCCTTCCCGAGCATCATGTCGATCTGCAGAATGGCCTCTCCGATGGGCTTCTCTATCCCCGAGCCTGCAGAACACAACCACCACATCACATATTAACACTATGAACAACATCTTTAAACCTGACTCTCGTGGTTTTATCTTAATCTTATCTTGATATTATTGCTGCTGCAGTGACCCATTTTCTTATTTTACATTTCAGCTTTGGGCAAACTTGTTTAAATTCCCTTTTTTTTTTACTATAGAAGGTGATGATGACGATAAAAAGTAGGTAACATTAAAGAAACACCACCATATCTTATACTTTTATAGTTAGTTTTTGATAAAGTGACAATTATCTAATTTACAGCGTAGTTTAAAAATCCTACCAACACACAGAGTGAAGTGTGTGCTTTACTGAAGCAGGGATGACAAAGAAATGATGCTAAAATGTGAACGAGTACCCAGCCTTGCCACGGAAAACTATGGAAAGGCAATGTTAGATTTCACTGAGTTGTATTTTTCTTCAAGGAACTCCTCAAAAAAGCTCAACTGTCCCCTGTGGAACCCATGAAACCCCTTTTTTTGGAGTGTACTGGACTTACCCCTGTCAGGTCGAATCTTCTCATTGCCAGTGATTCTGATGCCCATCCCATCGTGCACTGGGGGGGGGCAGGCAGGAGAGAGCATAGAGGTTTAAGAAACCTTTTAGTCAATTTGAACAACATCAATATACTGTACGTGCAGTGTCTGTGTCTATGATCACCTTGGGAGTGTTGTGTGGTGACAAAAGTCTTGATGAGAGCATCAGTGCTCTGGGAGTAGAGGGAGAGGGCGTAACGCAGTGAAGCCAGTTCAGGACTTTTCTCGACAAATGCCTTCTTCAGACCGTTTCCCCCTGCGTGGAAGTATTGCTGAAAGAAAAGTGGGCAGCAGGGTGAAGAAAAGAACAGAGTTCTTATATGGCAATATTGTGAACAGGATTTTACAGTTTGTGCCAATGTGCTTCAGTCACTTAGATGAGTACTGAAAACAGCTGTGCAGCAGATTTATATGTAAATACAGGTGTGTACAAGTAAGTAATACTTTTTTCTGTTTTTTTTCTCTCAATATTTTCCCCTCTCCCTGGCTTCCCTTCATTTATTTTAACCTACAATGACCCTAATACGCTGTCATAAATATGTACACAAAAAAGTACAATGATTTTTCTTTCCTTGTTGTTTAAAACAATAATAAAAGATTATTATATCCAGGTATCCAGAGTAAATCCAAAGTGCATTTTTCAGCTTGATTCTGTTGTTCTGTCAATAAATACATGTGAATTTTTCTAATAAAGGAGTATATCAAATCTGGTGGCAGCATCTAAAAAACAAGCAGAAAGTCTTAGTTTGTTTTGACTAATGGAAAACAGAAAAGTATTACTAAACTTTTTACTATCGTCCTACATATTTTATAGAGCCAAATAATAGTGTAAATGTCTCTAAATTGACCAGTCTAGATGCAACTGACATTTTCCATGTTGTTTTCTTGCTTGACATGAGAAATTGCAGGTCTCCACCTACCTTGATCGTCTCCAGCCCTGCATCAATAATTATACACTGTTTGGGCGTCAAGGTTTTGGCTTCACCACCTCCCTACAGAAACCGGAGTTCACAGACTGACATTAGACAAATTTTCCTCATAAGAGCAACGCTTATAATAAATAAATAAAAACAACAACGCTCAAAATAAATAAATAAAAACAAAACAGAAGCAGGGAAAATCATGGATCCTTTGTTATTAAGCATAGTTTTGATATTTAGTGTCTCCTGTTTGTGCTGACTTAAATCCAGTTATTGGATAATAATTCCACAATAACATGAATAAATTTAACAGACCGTTGATTCCTCATCAGTACATCTACACTGACTGTGAACTTAAACACACACACATCATTAGTGTCTTTCTTTACATGATTGAATAGTGAATTGGGAAATAAATTTCTGAGACTTCTACTGTGTGAGCAGTTCGAAAAAACAGTTTATGATGCAAGTGCTCAGTCACTGCTGAGAGAGGGAAAACATCTAGAATTTACTTGCTACATCCACATTTTACCCAGCCTATCTAGTCTTCAGACTGCTAGCTTTATGCAACCTCCTCCATGCTGAGTTCACAGGCAGCTCCAAATAACGATTGAACCCCATGTACAAATGCTTTAAGCTGCAGTCCTTCAGCCACCACTGCTGAAAAATGTCTTCATCACCAGGAAACCACCCCAAAGGCTCTTCGAATACATTTTCTGCTAGAAGTTCTGTATGGCTAATTTGAATTTGCCTTGTGAATGTTTTGGTGGCAGTTTTGAAATAATTAGTTCCAATTTTTACGATGGCGTAAAACATTTGTGTCTGGAAATTGCTGCTTGTTTGCTAGAATCCAGACTCCACCCTCTTTTCTGGCTTCAATAACTAACAACACGGTGACAATGGAAAACCAAAATCCAGGCTTTCAAATGTCCCTTTGGAAACAGTACTAAGGCCTCGTTTCGTGTGTGTTACCTTGAGATTAGAAAGACCTTTAGCTGCTGTGAGGAGTTGGGCACCCTACAGAGAGAGGCGGAGGAGAGAGAAAGAAGTGGATTATATTGAGACTTTTGTGTGATATTTTCATGCTTCCTTGTGCATCACAATTATCTGTACAACAGACAAAATGCAGTAATTCAACATGATTAACATATTCACTGAAGAAATCAAACTGGAACAAACTCCTGTAAAGATCAAGCCAACATTTTGCAAAAGAGAAACACCTGCTGACAGCCACCACTAGGTGGCAGCAGAGCACAGCTGCTGATTTTAGGAGCTGCGGTTTGAGAATCTACCATAATCCAACACAACATATACACAGCATATATTTGCAGTTTTTGATTTTATAATCATTTTGCAGAGACCTTGTTGATATATATCATATTTTCATATTTATGTCTGTTAGTGCAGTTACAAGCTTAGTGCATTTAAGGAACTAAAATCATGACCTTTGCTGTTGTAATGCACAACAAAAACACAAACATGTATGTTGAATGTGAATCTGAGGTATGTGAATTTGGTCATGGTGTGTGTGTGGTGTGTGTGTGTGTGTGTTTTAAACTGTTGCTTTCGAAGTCAATTTTCAGATGTGCTCGAGCCCATGAGCGAGCATAATCCAAGACACAACGGCTTTCGTACAAAGATCCAGCAAATGCAGAAACACTGCCATGCCAGCTGTGGCTTTTCTCCAGAAACGTTCCAGCTATTACACGTAAAGTCCCACTGCAACGTTACAGTAATATTTTATCAGCTTGAGCTTGAACTAATTCATGCTCATTACATGATGATACCGGTGTTGGCTCGCCTGCTGCTTTTCAGTAACTAACATTATTTGTGTATCTTTCACCGGAGGCTCAGCAATGTCAACACAGCTAAATGAGATTGTGGCCACAATTTATTTAACAGTTAGACTGCAGTAAATAATGTTACTGAAGTGAATGGGTCTTCCACTGTTGTTTTCCTGCAACGTTATGTTGCATTATGTATATTATGTGGGTCACTTAAGCTACAGCGACTGAGATGGTGGGGAAGTGGTTTACCTGCGTATCGGAAAAACGACAATAAATCTAAATTGAACATTATGAAACTAAAGTTGCCCCTGCCTTTCATCACTATGGGCTAGTATAAAAAAAATCGCTCCACATTTGCTTTGACATAATACTGGTG